TTATAGGAGCTACAATTCCTGAAAATGTTGTTTCTTTACCGCTTTTGGTTACCAAGGTTTTCAAGTTTGAAGATTTGCAAATCAAAATCCAAGGGGGGTAACCCTTAGGAAAACTACAAAAAATTGAATTTTTTTTATTTTTGAATTTTTCTAAATTTCGACTTCAGAAATCGATAGAGCGAGTCCAAATTAGTCAGAAGCAACTCTTACATCAATTACATTTGAAGATTTTGAAAAAAAGAAACATATCCATAAGGAAATTTCATTTTTGGGTCTAAAAATTTTTTCAAATCTTGACACGCTCATGAGTAGTTGCTTAGATCTTCAATTATATTTGAGTAAATTAGTAATAAATATACATCATTGGAAAGAGTATTAAATTCTCTATAAACATGTGTAAAATTGGGTTCTATAACTTGTGGAGTTTGAGAGATATTGACCCTCAAAGTGGAAATTTAGTCTACATTTTGTCTAAAACTTCAAACTCGATTTTCTCAGAAACTATAAATGCTAGCGATTTCAGTTAAATACCATCTAAAAGCCCTTATAGGAGCTACAATTCCTGTAAATTTTGTTGCTCTACCGCTTTTGGTTACCGAGGTATTCAAATTTGAAGATTTGCAAATCAAAATCCAAAGGGGGTAACCCTTAGGAAAAGTACAAAAATTTGAATTTTTTTTATTTTTGAATTTTTCTAAATTTTGACTTCAGAAATCGATAGAGCGAGTCCAAATTAGTCAGAAACAACTCTTACATCAATTACATTTGAAGATTTTGAGAAAAAGAAAAATTTCCATAAGGAAATCTCATTTTTGGGTCTAAAAATTTTTTCAAATCTTGACACGCTCATGAGTAGTTGCTTAGATCTTCAATTATATTTGAGTAAATTAGTAATAAATATACATCATTGGAAAGAGCATTAAATTCTCTATAAACCTGTGTAAAATTGGGTTCTATAACTTGTGGAGTTTGAGAGATATTGACCCTCAAAGTGGAAATTTAGTCTACATTTTGTCCAAAACTTTAAACTCGATTTTCTCAAAAACTATAAATGCTAGCGATTTCAGTTAAATACCATCTAAAAGCCCTTATAGGAGCTACAATTCCTGAAAATGTTGTTTCTTTACCGCTTTTGGTTACCGAGGTTTTCAAGTTTGAAGATTTGCAAATCAAAATCCAAGGGGGGTAACCCTTAGGAAAACTACAAAAAATTGAATTTTTTTTATTTTTGAATTTTTCTAAATTTCGACTTCAGAAATCGATAGAGCGAGTCCAAATTAGTCAGAAGCAACTCTTACATCAATTACATTTGAAGATTTTGAAAAAAAGAAACATATCCATAAGGAAATTTCATTTTTGGGTCTAAAAATTTTTTCAAATCTTGACACGCTCATGAGTAGTTGCTTAGATCTTCAATTATATTTGAGTAAATTAGTAATAAATATACATCATTGGAAAGAGTATTAAATTCTCTATAAACATGTGTAAAATTGGGTTCTATAACTTGTGGAGTTTGAGAGATATTGACCCTCAAAGTGGAAATTTAGTCTACATTTTGTCTAAAACTTCAAACTCGATTTTCTCAGAAACTATAAATGCTAGCGATTTCAGTTAAATACCATCTAAAAGCCCTTATAGGAGCTACAATTCCTGTAAATTTTGTTGCTCTACCGCTTTTGGTTACCGAGGTATTCAAATTTGAAGATTTGCAAATCAAAATCCAAAGGGGGTAACCCTTAGGAAAAGTACAAAAATTTGAATTTTTTTTATTTTTGAATTTTTCTAAATTTTGACTTCAGAAATCGATAGAGCGAGTCCAAATTAGTCAGAAACAACTCTTACATCAATTACATTTGAAGATTTTGAGAAAAAGAAAAATTTCCATAAGGAAATCTCATTTTTGGGTCTAAAAATTTTTTCAAATCTTGACACGCTCATGAGTAGTTGCTTAGATCTTCAATTATATTTGAGTAAATTAGTAATAAATATACATCATTGGAAAGAGCATTAAATTCTCTATAAACCTGTGTAAAATTGGGTTCTATAACTTGTGGAGTTTGAGAGATATTGACCCTCAAAGTGGAAATTTAGTCTACATTTTGTCCAAAACTTTAAACTCGATTTTCTCAAAAACTATAAATGCTAGCGATTTCAGTTAAATACCATCTAAAAGCCCTTATAGGAGCTACAATTCCTGAAAATGTTGTTTCTTTACCGCTTTTGGTTACCGAGGTTTTCAAGTTTGAAGATTTGCAAATCAAAATCCAAGGGGGGTAACCCTTAGGAAAACTACAAAAAATTGAATTTTTTTTATTTTTGAATTTTTCTAAATTTCGACTTCAGAAATCGATAGAGCGAGTCCAAATTAGTCAGAAGCAACTCTTACATCAATTACATTTGAAGATTTTGAGAAAAAGAAAAATTTCCATAAGGAAATCTCATTTTTGGTTCTAAAAATTTTTTGAAATCTTGACACGCTTATGAATAATTGCGTAGATCTTCAATTATATTTGAGTAAAATAGTAATAAATATACATCACTGGAAAGAGCATTAAATTCTCTATAAACCTGTGCAAAATTGGGTTCTGTAGCTTGTAGAGTTTTAGAGATATTGACCCTCAAAGTTGAAATTTAGTCCACATTTTGTTCAAAACTTCAAACTCGATTTTCTCAAAAACTATAAATGGTAGCGATTTCAATTAAATACCATCTAAAATCCCTTATCAAGAGCTACAATTCCTGAAAATGTTGTTGCTTTACCGCTTTTGGTTACCAAGGTATTCAAGTTTGAAGATTTGCAAATGCCTTAGGAAAAAGGGCAAAAAATTGAAATTTTTTATTTTCGAATTTTTCTGAATTTTGACTTCAGAAATCGATAAAGCGAATCCAAATTAGTCAGGAACAACTCTTATATCAATTACATTTGAAGATTTCAATAAGAAAAAAAAAATATCCATAAGGAAATCTCATTTTTGGCTTTGAAAATTTTTTGAAATCTTGACACGCTCATGAATAATTGCCTATATCTCCAATTATATTCGAATAAATTGGTAACAACTATACATCATTGGAAAGAGCATTAAATTTTCTATAAATCTGTGCAAAATAAGGTTTTGTAGCTTGGAGAGTTTTGGAGATATTGACCCTCAAAATTGAAATTTAGTCTACATTTTCTTCAAAACTTCAAACTCGATTTTCTCAAAAACCGCAAACGTTACCGATTACAACTCGATACTATTTTAAAGCTTTCATTGGCAACTACTGTCCTGAAAATTTTATCCAAGTACTGCTTCCGGTTACCGAGATATGGTGATTAAAGGTTTGCAATGATAAAACTCAAACATCAAGCTGGTGTCTCATAGAAAGTTCAGATGAATTCTCTGGCTATACTGAATCGATTTTTCCCTTAATATTTGATGCCTGACAAACCACCCATTTAACGAAGACAATGCAATACTGCCAATTTATGTGATGAGATGAGATGAGATTTGCTAATCATTAAACACTAACAGCTATATGCAACATCCTCTTTTAACTTAAAAGCGCTTTTTAAAACTGGTACCTTTCAAAATTTGTATGGCTTAGAATACACATTTTCAAAAGTGACTAGTTTTAAAAAGCGCTTTTAAGCCAAAAGAGGATGTTGCATACAGCTGTAAATATATTTCTGGAAAAATCGGCAAATGTCACAGAATCCATGAGAAGCAAAAAACAAATTTCCTCCGAAAAAAAAAGACTCTCCTTTTCTATTAAATTTTTTCTTCCACACTACTATTTCACTCGACCCCATCGTACAAGTAAAACACTAAATATTTATTTGAACCTTTCACAGCCCCAATTCGCAACCCTATGCATAAGACCCCTTTGATGTTTTAAAACAGAAAAATATTTAAGTTTCAATCGACAAAAGGTTTTCTTAGGGTAACATTTCTCTCGCATTTAGGACCTCGATTTCCCTTCCATCAACGTGCTTAACTCCCAGACAAATTCTCTAATTTCCGCAAAGTCCCGTTCTCCTTTCCCACCGGCTGAACGAATCGATTAGGTTTTCGGGGGGGCTGAAGTAACTCGATAATTGAAAACCATCCACGCGCGCCGCTCCTGCCTTTATTTTTTTTCCTGCCCCAAATAACTGCAGGTTAATCATATTTGACTTTGAGATGCAAGATACTTTTGCCCCAATAACCACGCCACTGCATTCATCAATATTAAATGCACCACTTAACTTTTCAGTTTGGCATCTTCTTTATCTTTCCTTTTTCTCCCTTTTTGTGCAAGTCTCAAGGGCGCGGCGAAATTTGCGATTTAATATTGATGGTCCCCCCTTTCCTTGGCCCTTTTACATAGAGATATACTGCGGCTTTAGAGGACATCTTGTAATATTTTTCTCAATTTTTATAAAGTGAGTTATTTTTTTTTGAGTTATGACGTGGAAGTACTTTCAGGATCAACATTATATCATCATCTTCAAGCTGGCAACTTCTGTAACCCCTTCAACTTCTCTTGAAATTTTGGTTGTGATTGAATCTTAACAATATCATAAATTTACACTATTTAAGTATTACGTCAATGGTGTACTACTTTCATAAATAAAACAATAACAACCAAAATTGCTGTCTAAAATCTTTATTAGCCCATTTGCAAACTTTTTTACGTCTCAAAAATAAATTAACATTAACACGAGTTTTCACTTTAGTAAAAATTTAAATTATTGTTGGTGTTTCATGGGCGTTTCAATCAAAATGTCGCCAAACATTTTCGCTTATTACCTATACAGGGTGTCGCACCCAATTATCGTACCTTCACAGAAAATTTATTTGCATTCACCGGGCATCAATCAATCAATCAATCAATTTGTTTCATTTCGAATAACGTCACACGCAAGCAAGACTAGATTTAATTAGATGTTATTTGCATTGTTCGTCAAGCATTTATATTAATGACGACAAGGCAGGTGTCGAACATACACTCAATTAAAATAATTTGTTTTTTTTTTGTAGATAAAAGAATATGAGAAATTGGAGTCGCACGAGGAACGGAAAGAAAAAGCCAAAGAAATTTACGATAAGTTCATTATGAAGGAACTCTTAGCTCAAACTCATGAATATTCGGAAGAGTGCCTTCAACATGTTCAGCAACATCTTATGAGGCAAGAAGTACCGGCCACACTTTTTGAGGTACTTATGAGATAAACTCACTGGATATTTTCTATTGTTTCCCATTTATTTTTCTTCACAATTTATTATACCATAATATGTATGTATATTGAAGGGTTTGTTGATTTTTTTTTTTTCAGCCTTACATAGAAGAAATTTACAGTCATCTTAGGGAAGAACCATTTAAGCAATTTTTAGAAAGGTAAAAAAGACATTATATTTTGTATTAAAAACACCAACATTATTAATATAAATGTTTCTTTTTCAGTGATAAATATACTAGGTTTTTACAATGGAAAAGTTTAGAATTAAATATAAAGGTAAGCTTTTTAGTTTTAGATGAATAATTTTTGCAAATTTCATCGGTAGTTCCATTAGGATACGCTCGATCGCATCCAGGCAAATATTGCATTCCAAATATAGAACGTTCGTCCTTGTTCAATTGTGGCTGTGTGGCGGCTCTCATCCAGCTCGATGTGACTCCCGTTTTGCTCTATTTTACCTCTTTTATCTCTACAGTTTCACAATTGGTGCTTCCATTCGATTATCCGAACCGAGAGAATGGAAAATGCGAAATTTTCTCTGGCTCCTTGAAAAAGTTTATTGCCACTCTGGAAAACAGTTCATAGAAACTACGATTCTAATATTTTACTTGATGAATATTTTGTTTGAATAAATTGCCAGAGAAATATTGATGTAAGGCAAACGTTTCAGAACTGATATAGTTCTTCTACTACCTCAGAAAATTTCACAGTAAAGCATGATTTTTCTTTTCGAAAATGCGTAGGAGTTAAAAGCAAGTTTCCAAAAATCTGTAAAATTCGTTGATTAATGACTTACTTAACTCTTCATGTGGGTCTTCACAAAACAATTCATTCAGTCAAAAACAATTATGCATGGCCAATGTTACATGAAAATAAACATAAATACGATTACTGTTCTGTTTTCCAAAAGTAATACAAAAGTACTCACCGGGAGGTTTTACCGCCCCTTGGTAAAAATCATAGTATAATTATAAACATTTACGACAATTTTCATATAAATCTGGATCTTACCTTACATGCCCTATTTTCTTCGACAACTAGTTAGTGTCACCTGAAATCAGTATAAGGGCTTCCAACAATTATATTGACACACTTAAATCCAATTGTGTCAATCGAACCGCAAGTGCAAACACCTCACCAGACACAATCCGAATGTACGGCGCCTATTCCCTGTAACACTGACAGGGCCACTCATTGCCTCAAAACAATGGAGGAGTTTCCACTTAATTTTAATCACGCAGTTATCAAATTACTCTAGGTGCGTAGATAGACCATCACTGATTTACAACAGTAAGTTGGGACGAACCTCTCTCGCTCAACACCCAAATTTCATTGCCTCGCTCTTATTTTAGCCCTTACCAAAGACTACGAGTTTTCAATAGTGGTCTTTTCTTATTTTTTTGTAATAGGGAATGTGAATCTGTATATAAATAAAGATAGGTATTCATTAGATCATAATTTTAATTAAATAAATTCATGGAAAACTACAGGAATATAATATTAGTATTAATTTGAAAAAGTTGCCCTTTTATAAATCCCAAATGAATTAATTATCAGCTTGAACTCCAATAAAAATGCAATTTCTTTTAATCAAATGCTAATAAAGCGCTCGAGATAGGCCTCTAATGGGTTTCAGATGGAAATAGACCAGTGACACACCGGAGAAACTACCTGACTGCATTTTTACCTTGTTTAATTTTAATTGCCTTTTTTTTTTCATAATCCTTTGTTGTAGCAGTCTCAATTGTTTGTGGTTTTCCTTCTTCTTTTTCTTATTGCCTTGCAAAGTTCTTCAAAATATGTAATGCAATAGGAGATTCTTCTTGAGTTCTTTAACATATTCAATGTCTTAACAGATTTACCACTGCAATAGCAGTATTAACAAAGTCTATTAATTGATTCAAATGTTACTTTAGTTTTGATACATTAGACTTTCTTTACTTTAGTTATCGATGAACGACTTTAGTGTGCACCGTATCATAGGACGAGGCGGTTTCGGCGAAGTGTACGGCTGCAGGAAAGCGGACACGGGCAAAATGTACGCCATGAAGTGCCTGGACAAAAAACGCATCAAAATGAAACAGGGAGAAACTTTAGCTTTAAACGAACGCATCATGCTCAGCCTCGTTTCTACTGGACAAGTAAGAAAAACATCAACATAATTATTAATAATAAAATAATGTTTTCCACCAACAGGATTGTCCTTTTATCGTATGCATGACTTACGCTTTCCATACTCCGGACAAATTGTGTTTTATTTTGGACTTGATGAACGGTGGAGATTTGCATTATCATCTCAGCCAGCACGGAGTGTTTGCCGAGCAAGAAATGCGTTTTTACGCTGCCGAAGTGATTTTGGGTTTGGAACACATGCACCGGCGGTATATCGTTTACAGGGACCTTAAACCTGCCAATATTTTATTGGACGAGCACGGACACGTGCGAATTTCCGATTTAGGTTTAGCCTGTGATTTCAGCAAAAAGAAACCTCATGCCAGTGTTGGTACTCATGGATATATGGCACCTGAAGTTTTATCAAAGGTAATTAGTGTTTTGAATCTTTATTTGTTTTATGTTTGTTCTACTTTTAGGGTACGCCATATGATTCATCTGCCGATTGGTTCAGTTTCGGTTGCATGCTCTACAAATTGCTCAAAGGCCACTCGCCGTTCCGTCAACACAAAACGAAAGACAAGCACGAAATAGACCGCATGACGCTTACTATGAACGTAGAACTGCCTGATTCATTCTCGCGAGATCTCAAGTCTCTTCTGGAAGGTTTGCTGCAACGAGACGTGGACAAGCGGTTGGGCTGTCGAGGGCAAGGTTCTGATGAAGTCAAGGCTCACGTGTTTTTTGGTGGTTTGGATTGGGGCCAGGTGTACAATCAGAAGTACAGTCCTCCATTGGTACCGCCTCGTGGAGAAGTCAATGCGGCGGATGCTTTTGATATCGGTTCTTTCGATGAGGAAGATACTAAAGGAATTAAGGTTTGTTTTTGGTATTTTATAGTGAATACCAATGACATATTAACTCATAGATAGATATTACAAACAAAATTTTGTGTCGTTAACATCTAGGAGAGCGATCCACCTCCTGTGTATCCGCTCCAATTAGGTTACGGATTGATGTTTTATCCTGTTATGACTCTGCTTCAAAAAATTGGAACCTTTAAAACTAAAAATGACGCAGGCAACACGGGTTTTGTAAAGGAGGCGGTCTAGGCCCTTATGAGTTGAAAATATGAAAAAATTGGATTTGAATTGAGTTTTTCTGATGATTTTCGATATAGTACAGTAAATAGGGATATTTTATGGATATTTTACTAAAAAAAAATACTTAATGGCTGAACTTTTGAGGGTGTGTTCGGAGGCATGTCTTGAGTCTAAAACTGAGATTTCGTATTCGAGGGGGTGGGGGAAGATACTACCCCCTCTTTATGTAGGGTTGAGTTCGTTTTAATTCCTTATCTTCGGTGCTATTGCCCGTACCGTCAAGTACGAGAGATCAAATTTGTGGGAAATAAAATTATCCATCTAATGATAATCAAATAGGACGATTAGGTGCCGGTACTTTTGCTCTCATTTGACAGCCGTTAAAAATAATCAGGGCTTAGAATGTGCTCTAACCACATCATATACTTATAGACTTTTGCCCATGCAAAACTTTGACAACGTATCAAATTCGTTAATCGAGAGCAAAAGTATCGGCCCTAGGTAAATCACAATGGCCGGTGAAAGGTCAAAAGTGGGGGGTAGTTTTTGATGGTTTTTCGTGAATACCGTGAAACCGGTAGGTTTTTTCGCATACTGCTTAGATACCATTTCAAAGTACTTAGTTGAAATTACCTACAAAATGAGTGCTCAAAACTAAGGCTCAAACACTCATCAACTGTGAATATTTTGCCGTCAATCCAACGACCAAGTTGACTTGCCCCCCCATCAATGGTAAAAATTAATTTTCAAAAATTCGCCGAGGCCGAACCGCTGGTCCGATCGAGTTGAAATTTGATATGTATATAGTGAAACGGGTCCTCTATTGGAAAAAAAATACGAAAAACCCCTATCTTGAAAGGAAAGTCCCCTAGAGGGCCCCTAAAAATTTTTTTTCGGCCGATTTGGATCAAATTTAAAGTGTAGGTAAAAGGGGTCTAAGGGGCAGATTCTGTAACTTGTCGTTACTTGACGACATCGTTGTGGTAACGACTTTGATGTGAACGATATTTTCGGAAATCGTATTCCGTAACCGAATCGTTACGTTCAACTTAAGTGACATATCGTAACGACAAATATCGTGTGATTTTACGAAGGTTGGTAGTGCTGATTTAGCATAAGCTAACTTCATTTAGTTGTAACTGTCAGTTTTCGGTCAGGATTTACCGCTCTTTTCAGATTAGTTTTTAGATATTTACTGCCTAATTGCGCAAAATTATTATAAATAAAATTAGAAATTATTATAATGAGTATCGAAGGTGAGAAAGCTAAAGGTATATCGGCTAGAACAACTCGGGATCAATATCAAATGTATCTTGACGAGCTAGGCACAAACAAATGTTTCCGCGAGAATCAATTCGATGGTTCCGAACCTGATCTGATTCGAAATACTCGGGCTAAACTGAAAAATTAAATGCTTTGGAGGGTCCTATCAGGACTGTAGCGGGATAGAAAAGGGTAAGTTATCTGCCTTATCCTGTCCAAGTCGTATTACCTTTTTTTAATGAAAATAATGGTGGATTCAAGATTTTCAGCGATTGGAAAAGTCAAACCAAAGCGAAGGCACGAAAATATCATTTGCGAAATCATGTTCCCCATTCACTAGCTGTGCATCGTCAATTTCATTTTGATCAAGATGCTCATCATCACTGTTCTCCTGTATATTGATATTTTCAAGAACCAATATATTTCTGTCCCCTATAATGTTGTGTAGAATTGCACAGGCATAAACTATTCGTGCAATGAAAGCTGAATGGTAATGAAGAACTCTATCAGGATATAGGCACCTCCAGACCCCCTTCAATAACCCATTAGTTCGTTCTATACAATTGCAGATTTGTCGGTGTCGCTGAGTATATCTACCTTCAGGTGTATTAGGTGCAGCACGAACGATGGGAGTTAACAAATAGGGCAAAACGGGGTATCCCGAGTCTCCGAGTAAATATGTTCCATGGCTGCCATGAAGAAATCTCTGATGCATAAATCTTCTTGGATTACTCATCCTCCAAATAGCTGCGTCGTGAACGCTCCCTGGAAACTGGGCATTTATGGCTAATATTTCACAATTAGAATCGCAAATTATTTGACAGTTTATGCTGTAAAAGTTCTTCGGATTCATGAATACGTTCAGTAGATATCCAAGGTCTTCACCACGTGATGGAACTATTTTTATGTGGGAACAACCAATACATCCGATGATGCCAGGAACATGAAACTTGCGATAGTATCCGTTTGTAACTTCTGCTATCTGTTGAAAATTTTTGGGAAATTGGATGTACCTATGTGTTAGCCATATGGTTAACCATAGCATTAACCACTTCATGCAAGCACCGGTTAACGTTAGCCTGCGATGATCCCTTAAACGTGTTTTCACCCACAGATTTTTGGTAGCTGCCATGAGCTAAGAAGTGAAGCGCTAAGAAGAATCTAACTACAGGTGGTGTTCTGGTGTTTCTCACTCCAGTATCAATGTGCGGTAATATTTCCTGAAAAAAGTCTTTAGCCGCCTCAACATTTAGCCGGTACATCATCTTAGAAACGTTCTCGGGCAATTTAAAAGCATTACTATTATCTCTCAACCGGCGGAACGCATTTCTTCCTTGCTCTCTGAAAAAACGGATAAAAAAGTTCCAGTAAGGGTTAGGTAAATTATTTATGGTTTTGACGACCCTTTTTGTAATTCATCCAACATGCCATGCAACTAACGCTCTATCGTCGATATTTTATATTATTTCACACTTTATTGTTTTTAATGATCACTCACAATTGAACAAAAACTTTGAACGACTGCCTGAGAGGTGCCGCTAACAAACGATGAAAACTGTCACTTCTTAACGACTGTCGTTCGATATAGAATAAGTAAAGTCGTTCAGTAACGATTATCGTTCGATACAGAATACTAATGTTGTTCAGTAACGATTGTCGCTCATTAACGACGTCGTTATAAGTTACAGAATCAGCCCCTAAAAAAGGTTAAATTTTAGGTTTCAGCTCTCTACGACATATAGGAAAGGTTTTAGCCCCTATCTCCCAATTTTGAAAAAGGGCGTAGAATGGAGTACCTACCTATACGCGTTTTGCATTTATTTTCACGAATTTTGAAAAATGACGTCTTATGAAACTTGTATTTTAATGTACTGTTCCGCACGGCTGTCAGTGCGGAAAAAATTTTACCGCACTGATATGTCAAAAAAAAAAAATATACATTTTTACGCCTATAGGAAAAATATTGTACCTGCTTCACCGGTGAACGGCAGCCGCAATTCATTTTCCGCACTTGTTAGGTAAATAGCTATTTCAAAATCGGTACATAGAAAGGTTGAGGGGGTAGTCAGAAACAGGAAAATACCAGTGGCGTATACTCAATCGACCTACGAATGGAGAAAACCATACGAAAATATACAAAACTGTATGATTATTCAAAAACTGTACCTACATAGGAAACTGTATGATTATTCAAAAACTGTACATTGGATTGAATTCATACTAACATGGAATTGTATATTTTCGTATGGTTCTTCATTCGTAGGTCGATCGAGTGTACGCCACTGGTATTTTCCTGTTTTTGAGTACCCCCTCAACCTTTCCATATTAGATGAATTCAATCCTTGATAATTGCGATTCATCGAAAAAAGGATTTATGTGAAAATATGGACATTTCCACCCTAGTATTGGGCATAAATAGTACTGGAAGTTATAGTCAGTACCAATATACATACACCGTTTACATACACCGTTTACGGTACCTAAAAGGACTTTCAAATAACTTTGAGGGTGGTTAAAGGGGGTGAAACTAATAATTGCGACTCATCGAAAAAAGGGTTTTTGTGAAAATATTCAATGAGATAGGGGGGATAAAGGAGAATTTATCAACAAAAATTGATAATAATTGTAATAAATATTGCATGCAAGGCCAAACTGTAAGTTAGGTACCACTGGCGCCGACTACATGGGGGCATTGGGGCAAGTGCACCCATGAGCAATCTCTCATGTGTGCGGAGCTCTTATTACTATTATTTTTTTCAGTCAGGAAGCAGACACTTTTATAAGGAATAATTTTTTTTCATAAAATTGATAAAAAAGTTTCCCATATGCTACGAACTTAAGTGGACACACTATATAATGTGCGTATTCATTCTGGCTGTTCATACTACTGGGAGGTTCACACTATCGCGAGTGTATTGTACTATACCGGGTGTCCATGAGATCACTTTCCAGCTGCCATTTTTTTATTTATTTATCGATATCAACGAAACTTGGTAGAGTTGATATTCTAATCAAACGCCATTTTTATGCATTTATGACAAGTTTTCCCGACTTCCGGTTTCACCGGAAATGACAGCAACTTTTGATTTTTAAATGGCACACCCTGTATATTTTTTGTTTTTCTGATTCTACAGATCGTTTTACATCCTAATGCACCACTTTTGAATCGATTTTTGTCCAAAAACTCCATTATTTCAGTATTTTTGCCCTAGCTCAAAAAGTAGAATAGAAACATATCACTTTCATAACATTACTAAATACAGTATTTTAAAGCGAATCCAACGATATAATACACTAGGACATTTTTTCTCAATTTTCGTTCATATACTTATTTTTGTAGGTTATTTTTTTTTTCTACTTAAAATTTAATTTCAAAACGAAATTTGGACAAAACTCGATTTAAAAGTGGTTCATTAGGACGTAAAACGATCTGTAGAATCTGATAAACAAAAAATATACAAGGTGTGCCATTTGAAAATCAAAAGTTTCGGTAATTTCCGGTGAAACCGGAA